AAAACATTACGGGCCAATTTTACTTGTGAACATAACATAGGTGCAGAAACTTAAATATTAGCAAAGATATCCAGTATTGTATATGGAAGGATGTCCTATCACAGCCAAATTAGATTTATTCCAACAATGCAAGGGTAATTTAACATTTAAAAAACAAAATCAACCAATCTAGGGGTGCCTGGGTGGCTCAGTCAGTTGAGCATCTGACTCTTGATCTCTGCTCAGGTCTTGATCTCAGGGGATCTCAGCGTTGTGAATTCAAGCCCCACATTGGGCTCCACACAAGGCATGGGACGTACTTAAAAAATAATAATAAAAAAATTAAATAAAAAATCAATGTAATTCACTGTTTTGAGAATAAAGGAGGGGAATCTTATTCCACTAAATATAGCATTTGATAAAATTCAACTTCCATTCATGGTAAAAATCTCAACGTTTTTTATTTATTTTTGGGACAGAGAGAGACAGAGCATGAACGGGGGAGGGGCAGAGAGAGAGGGAGACACAGAATCGGAAACAGGCTCCAGGCTCCGAGCCATCCACCCAGAGCCTGACGCGGGGCTCGAACTCACGGACCGCGAGATCGTGACCTGGCTGAAGTCGGACGCTTAACTGACTGCGCCACCCAGGCGCCCCAAAAGAGATTTTTTCGTATACTGATCTTATATCCAGCTACTTTGTAATTTATCTATCTTGCTACATTCTCTTAATTCTAACAATTTATGTGTTGACATTTTACGTATTTCTACTAAAAAAAATTATATCATTTGAGAATAATAACAGTATTATTTCATTCCTAGAATTCCTTAATCTCTTCCTTCCCTTCCCTTCTTCCCTCTCTCTCTTTCTTTCTTTGCTTTATTACACTATCAAGAACCCCAGGACAAAGTTGAATAGAGGTAATATAATCTTTGCTGAGATAACTATAACCAGATTAGACAAGTTCAATTCTATTCTTTGTTTCCTAAGATTTTTACCATGAGGGGCGCCTGGGTGGCGCAGTCAGTTAAGCGTCCGACTTCAGCCAGGTCACGATCTCGCGGTCCGTGAGTTCGAGCCCCACGTCAGGCTCTGGGCTTATGGCTCAGAGCCTGGAGCCTGTTTCCGATTCTGTGTCTTCCTCTCTCTCTGCCCCTTCCCCGTTCATGCTCTGTCTCTCTCTGTCCCAAAAATAAATAAAAAAAAAAGTTGAAAAAAAAAAATCTCTTTTATTTCTGTTATGAGCATCAGACAAAATAAAAACTTTTACACATACTACATAAAATAGCATTCAGAAACATAAAATATCCCAGTATTCATCTCACCAAAAATAATCAAGCCCTCTAAAGAAAATGTTCATGGATTGGGTAACTCAGTATATTAAAAATATCAGTCTTCCCTAAGTGATCTACAGATTCATTGTGATCCCATTTAAAATCCTAGTCATTTATTGTTTTTTTAAAAAAAAAATATGTGGAAACTGACAAGCTGATTTTAAAACTTCTGTAGAAATGTGAAGGGCCAACAATATTCAAGACACTTTGAGGAAAAAGAACAGGGTATGAGGAGTAATCTGAAAGTTGTAAATTGCTGTAAGGTAATTCAGACAGTGTTGTATTGCTATAAAGCTAGACAAATAGACCAAAGGAACAGAATAGAGAATCCATAAGCAGACTCACACATGAGTGGACAAATGATTTATTACAAAACGGGAATTGCAGAAAACCAGAGTTAATTGCAGAAATCATAATCAACTGTTCTTTTTTATTTGGTTTATTTTGCGAGAGAGTGTACACACAGGTGCACGTGAGTTGGGGAGGGGCAGAGAGAGAGAGAGAGAGAGAGAATTCCAAGTAGTTTCTGTGCTGATAGCATGGAGACTGATGTAGGGCTCAAACTCAGAAGCTGTGGGATCATGACCTGAACCAAAAGCAAGAGTCAGATGCTTAACCATCTGAGCCACCCAGGCACCTGTCGACTATTCTTTCAATCACCAGAAGTCACACAGAAGTAGGAATGTTATCTGGTTTCCTCATTTTTTTCTGTCTTTTGTTTGTCTTCATTTTCAGAGGGGCTTGTTTTATTTTTCCCCAGCCCAGGCACTGCTTTGTGGTCCACAAGCAACAGAGATAAAGGGAGCATGTGAAGATTAGGTGACCCAGGGCAGAAGTTAACGATGGGGGCCATGTGATCTGGTTTGCCCAGTTCAGTTCAGTTTACACCTCTTTTTCTGGCATAGATACTAGTAACTTCCACTCTGAAAAGTGTTCTGGTTTGGATGACCAATTTTACAGTTACATTAAAGGGTTCTGGGGGATTTGGATCACACGGAAGTATCCGAACACACAATTTAGGATAAAAACGACGTCAACGTAGGCGGGAGGAGGATAATTGGGCAAAGTAGAAATAAGGAAAGGGCAAGAGCTAGTTCTTCGGTGGATGGTCAAGAGGGTCAGGAGATGAGGAGATTATGTGAACTCCCAACATCCAGATGTTGAAGGAAAAGTGTGCCTTTTAGATCTGTAAGGTCAGAGATACCAGACCCCTCTCTCTCAGGTCAATCTAAAACAGTCGGTTTTCTAAAGAGAGCAATACATAAATAGCTTTGGGTTTCAATTTATGAGATATGCTCTGGAAATAACGCTACAGAATACAGGCGAAGTCAGTCTGTGTTCTCATCAAACTAGTTTGATCTGTTAATTCCTGGTTGACTGTCATTTGCAAAGCACCGTAATTAAGCTATCATGCTTTTTCATTCTTGAATTTCTTTAGAAGAGTGGTTCTCAAGGTGGGATTCTCAGACCTGTGATGGTCCTTGAGACCCTTTTGGGGGGGGGGGGCTGCCTGTGAAGTCCAAACCGTGGTTCATAATAATACTAAAACATTATTTGATCTTTTTAATTGTTGATGATTACACTGAGGCACAAAAGCAGCGGTGGATGAAACTGCATGACCCTTATCATGAATCAGTGGCACCACACGGCCCAAGTGGTCATTGTATTCTTTACCACTGTGCAATCACAACGTTTTCAGAACGCCGGTGTTTTGGTTATGCAGTATGTTCTTGATGAAGTAGTAAAAATTCTTCTTTTTTTTTTTTTAAACCTAAACCCTTGAGTCTTTAATAGTCTGTAGGACAAAGGAGGAAAGACTCCTAAAGCGCTTTGCAGAGAACGGAATTGTGAAGGAGAAGCACTTATTCCGTTGTGGGAATTAAGAACTCATCTGAACTGCTGCCATGTTTTTTGTTTGAGGAGACCATCAGATGACATTGTTATTCAGACTCGGGTTGTTTGGCAGCCACTGTCTTGAAAATAAAGGAAGAGAGCCTGTCACGTCAAGAAAAATAGCGGGCAGGATTTGTTGCCAGTGATAAAATTGAGCCTTCAAGTGAAAATTTGAATTTTGGAAACTTGTCTGCCACTAGGTGCTTGACAGCTTCCTAGTGCTTAAAGGATTTTTTTCTGATGAGCTCAGTGGTGATGCTAATGAATGTGATTTTTGGTACTCTGAAATGAAATGTGTCAATATCTGGAAAGTCTACATAAACCATGGCACTGATATTTTCCAAATGACTCATGTCAAAATCTCAGGGTGCCTGGGTGGCTCAGTCGGTCAAACATCGGACATCGGCTCAGGTCATGATCTCATGGTTCGTGGGTTCGAGCTCTGTGTTGGGCCCTGTGCTGACAGCTCAGAGCCTGGAGCCTGCTTCAGATGGTGTCTCCCTCTCTCTGCCCTTCCCCTGCTCATGCTCTGCCTCTGTCTCTCTCTCTGAAAAAATAAACAAACATTGAAAAAACTAAAAAAAGAAAACAAAGAAAGTCGTGCATGGGTCCATTCAAAGTGCAAACTAGTAGTGGGTTTGAATATACCTGAGTATGAAAAGTTAATTGATACTCTTCAGATTGTATATTGCCACTAACCCTTGAGGAAACTTTGCTGAGTTCCGGTATGTCAAAGAAGAATATTTGTCTGAAATATCATTTGAATATTATCTGAAAAGCCTATTAAGATCTTCCTTATCCAAAAAAATGAAAATAAAAAAATAAAATCTTCCTATCCAACTATGTATTTATGTGAAGTCAGATCATCTTCTTTATTTTATTTATTTATTTATTTATTTTTTTAAATTTTTTTTCAACGTTTTTATTTATTTTTTTGGGACAGAGAGAGACAGAGCATGAACGGGGGAGGGGCAGAGAGAGAGGCAGACACAGAATCGGAAACAGGCTCCAGGCTCTGAGCCATCAGCCCAGAGCCTGACGCGGGGCTCGAACTCACGGACCGCGAGATCGTGACCTGGCTGAAGTTGGACGCTTAACCGACTGCGCCACCCAGGCGCCCCAGATCATCTTCTTTAAATAACTTACAGGGACTGTGTTGCTCAGTCAGTTAAGCATCCGACTCCTGATTTTGGCTTAGGTCACAATCTCAGTATTCGTGAGATTGAGCCCTGCATCGGGCTCTGCATTGACCACGTAGAGCCTGCTTGGGATTCTCTTTCTCCCTCTCTCTCCACCCCTCCCCTGCTCATGTGCACACACTCTTTCTCTCTCAAAATAAATACATTTAAAAAAATAACTCACAGCAACTGATTGAATACAAGGTATATGAGAATCCAGATATCTTCTATTAAGGAAATTTGAAAAAAAGTAAAACTACTTTTTTGGGGGGAATGGGTTAGAAGATATCGTTGACTACTTGAGAAAATGTTAACATGTGAGATGCTTAATATTGTTATTTAAAATTTTTTAAAAAATGTTTTATTTATTTTTGAGACAGAGACAGAGCATAAGCAGGGGAGGGGCAGAGAGAGAGGGAGACACAGAATCCAAAACAGGCTTCAGGCTCCGAGCTGTCAGCACAGAGCCCGACGCGGGGCTCGAACTCACCACGAGATAATGACTTGAGCTGAAGTCGGACATTCAACTGAATGAGCCACCCAGGCACCTCAATATTGTTATTTTTTTTTAAAAATTTTTTTAAACATTTATTTATTTTTGAGACAGAGAGAGACAGAGCATGAACAGGGGAGGGGCAGAGAGAGAGGGAGACACAGAAGCTGAAATAGGCTCCAGGCTCTGAGCTGTCAGCACAGAACCCAACGCGGGGCTCGAACCCACGGACCGTGAGATCATGACCTGAGCCGAAGTCGGACGCTTAACCAACCAAGCCACCCAGGCACCCCGTTATTTTTAAATGAATTTTGAAAATAGTTATTTTAAAAAGTTTTAGTTTTAATTCTGAATGCAGTAAATATCTATCCACATAAACACAAATTCTCAGGAGTCCCTTAATAGTTTTTGAGTGGAAAGGGGTCCCAAGACTAAAAAGTTTGAGAATCCCCGCTTTAGAGCACTGGTTTTCAGCCTTAATGAATAGCAGGATCATCATTGGAGCTTTAAAAACTGCTCTGTCTGGGTTTCACCTCTAGAGATTCTGTTTTCATTAGTCTGGGGTGCAGCACGGCCATCAGGGTTTTTGAAAGCTCTCCAGGGGATGCTCATGTGCAGCCGAGATTGGGAACCAGCACTTTAGTCCAAGGCTGGAGACGTACAAGCCCTGGAACTTGACCTGCACCTGCTTTTGGTCTGTAAATGGGGCATTTCTTCTTCAGTCATCTGGCATCAGCTCTATTCCAGGCACCGTACTTAGTACTGAAGATATGTCAGGGAGCACACAGGAAACATTTCTGTGTTGTGGGAGAGGAGATGATACTACACCAATAGATGGGTCTTCTTTTTCTGTAGCACGGAAGGTGGAGTTAATAAAATGCCAGAGTCAGGGTCCAGTGCGGTTCTGATGCTTGGGCTTGCTTTGCCTTCAGACCAGGTTTTGGCCCCGGTTTGCTGCCGTCTTCGGAGCTGGTGCCTTCTGAGTCCCAGCAGACACAGGCATCGGCTGACGCCCCGTTCGCTGCCCGAGGGATCTACCCTGAGGAGATGCCATCGGTGGCCCGGCCACGGCCTGTCGGGGGCACCACAGGTACATGTGGCTGTTTAGCTTGCGTTTCTGAACTAGAGAACCTCTACTTTCTGGCTATTCCGGCAGAGTACCTTTCAGACTTCCCAGGGTACCGCCGTCCCCGTGTCCGTCACCTCCTCCACTAGTCTGTGCTCCCTGGGATCCCGGTAGAGGTGCAGGCAGGGGAGGGGGGAAGAGAGAGTGGCGGAGAGCCCAAGACTGATGTCCTCCGATTTGTTCCTGTGTCAGTGTCAGAACATCCTTTCACGTGGCGTGCACAGCACATCTCTGCCAGGGAAAGTGTTTCTTAATTCTTACGGTAAACTGAAAGATCTGTTTCTGAGCACTTGGTATGGCTTTAAAACAAGTGTCGTTTTCTAAAAAGGCACTTTTCCAGCCTGTGATAAACAACTCCAAATGTTGCTGGACAGTAACCTAGGGAGATTTTTGTTTCATTTGGTTCTCGTGACGAGGGACACTGCTCATAGGTGACAGTCAAGTCCAACATGGCTGAGCTGAGTCTCACATGGCATGTGGCTGGTTGGCCCTGGCAGTTTACCCAGAATTAAAAATTGCTGTTTCATGTCACAGAACTCCATCTCATGAATAGTTGATACTACAAATACCATATTTGTGAATGTTGTTCATTGTTCCTCAAGCGTCTGTGGAGTTTAAGATTTTTTTTTTGTACAGCTCAGCATGCTTTGAAAAGTCTTCGAAGTTCGTTATACCCATCTGACTGTTTTACTCAAAGTCACTTTTATTTTCATTTCTTCACCTTCCTGTTTGACGGTTTAATAAGAAATTGAAGCTTTAAAAAGAGGAGCTATTACATGTTTGCTTATCTTTTACAGTTTTCTAACTTTCTGGACAATATATACCTTTATAATGTCAACAAGGAACTAGTTTAAGCCTTTTCGAAACTTGTAATAATTGGTGGATAGTGATCCTTTATAGTTTCCTAGGCATTTATTATAGGTTGCATTGTCTATCAGTCAACAACAAAAATATCTCTGGATATCCCACAGGATTTCCCATATTTTACAGGTGCTGTACTTGCAGTGAGTTTTCTTTCTCCTGTTAATTACTGCTTATTTGAACATTGGTGCATATTACATCTCCCAAACAAAATTCAGACAGCTTCATCTTTAATCTAGAAGAATAGAGAAATGGTACATATGAAATATTTGAAGAGGAAGTTATTTTCTAATAATTTCTAATAAGAGATTAAGTTGTATAAAAATTTGTAATAGAAAATATTAAGATATACTGGAAGAGTTACCTTTTGACTATTTAAAATAATTGAATATGTATATGTCTAAAAATTACTAGAAGCAAAGGAAAATAGAATCCAGGGAAGTATTCAGCAGGTATGCCCATGAGGTATTTTTATGAGAGGATGATTCAAAGAAATTGATAAGTGGGCAGACTTCAGAGCCTAAATGGACAAAGGACAGGAAGGATGAATTCACAGAAGGAATATGTGTGTGGGGTGTATATCACAGGAAAGTAAACATGAAAGATGCCCAGTTTTGAACATGACTGAAGAAATGCACTTTATAACCATGGGGAGACACCATTTCAGTCGTGAAACTGTTTTCATAATAACGTAGCAGGACAACATTAACATCCACTTTCTTCTTCTGTACAGTGGGGGTAGTGTGGCTGTTGTGTGGATTACAGAAGATAACAGGTGCAAAGTGCTCAAAATAGTGCCTGACGTGTTGTAAACTTTCAGTGAATATCAGCTGCAATTATTATTAGTATATTTCCATTGGTGGTATAAATCATTAAACATTGGGAAAGCAGCTGGGAAGTATGACTTACTAAGCTTTGCATTTGCTAATTCTACTTTTGAGAATCTAGGATCCTCCTCCCCAAAGAAATCCAAATATTGGGGAAAAACGAGTGCAAAGGTGTTTATCAGCACATTATTCATAATAGAGAATTGTGAGCCCTCTAAATGCCTAGTAATGAGGGGATCAGTGCATAAATTGTGCAGCTGTTTATTATTAATTAATTAATTTCATTTTAGTTTTTTTATTAAATCCCAGTATACTTAGCATGCAGTGTTATATTAGTTTCAGGCATACAATATAGTGATTCAACATTTCTATACGTTACTCAAGTCTTCATCAAGAAAAGTATACTCTTTTAAAAAAATTTTTTTTTTATTTATATATGAAATTTATTGTCAAATTGGTTTCTATACAACACCCAGTGCTCATCCCAAAAGGTGCCCTCCTCAATACCCATCACCCACCCTCTCCTCCCTCCCACCCCCCATCAACCCTTAGTTTGTTCTCAGTTCTCAACAGTCTCTTATGCTTTGGCTCTCTC